ACGTAAGTCGAAAAAATCAACAAAACGAAAAACGGAGTAAAACCTTCTTATTAACTGGTGCGACTGGATTTCTTGGCGCACATATTTTAAATATTCTCTTGAATACAACATCATCATATATATATTGTTTACTTAAAAAGAAAAGTAATAGAACTCCCAAAGCTTCTCTTAAGCGTGTTTTTTTGCGAAATAATCTTGATACTTCTTTAATAGATTCGGACAAATTAATTGCTATTTATGCTAACCTTTCGGAACCTCATTTTGGTTTAATGGAATATGAAAATTTATCGCAAAAAGTAACTACGATAATACATGGTTCCACTTTTGCTAAACCTGGAGCACCTTTATCTGTTTATGAAAATTCTATACTTGGAACTGCAAATTTATTACTTTTTTGTGCAAAAAAAGAATTTCATTTCATATCAAATATTGACGCTTGTGTTAATGGTCCTTGGGATTATGTTCCAGAAGGAATCTTACCTTTGAAAGCATCAATTACTAATATGGATGGTTTTGGACTTTCAAAATTAGCCACTGAAACAATTATTACAAACACTTTTTATTATTTATACCTTGAACGTACAAGCATTATAAGAACAGGTCAAATTTCTTCACATACAGAAACTGGTGTATGGAATCCAAATGAATGGGTACCCTTAATTTTAGGAAATGCTGGATTAACAGGAAAAATGCCAACATTCGAAGCAAATTTAGATTGGATTCCTGTGGATATAGCTTCAAAATCTATTGTAGATTTAATAACTCGTGACACATCTTTTAATATTGAAGTATTTCATATTTCAAATCCAAAACCAACAATAACTTGGGAACAATATTTAGATAAACTTAAAGAATTTGGAATGAAATTTACGAGAGAAGAATTATCAATTTGGTTAGAAAATTTATGGAAAGATGTAGAGAACGATTTATGTGACAAAAATTTATGCTTATTATTAACAAGACATTTTGAAAACATGACCATAAATGACTCTCAAAAATCAAGAGCACTATTGGATTTGACAAGTACTCAATCACGTACATCTTTATTATCAGAATGTCCTTCGTTGTTGGATGAAGATATAAGAAAAAATATTATTAAAATAAATATTGATTGGTTAAGAAGTACAGGGTATTTATCAGAGACGACATTACATCTAAATTCTTTGCAACCAAGATCAAAATTCAAATTACGAAATAATTTAAAGAATGTAGATCAAGGATTATGGGGTTGGTTTACTATTATAGTACCTCTAATGGTATTCTTCTTCGTAATTAATATTTTATGGAATATATTATCCGAGAATTTTTTACAAGTCACTTTTATTTCGGGATTTTTTGTTGCAGCCGTTTTTAGTGATGACTCAGCAAATAATAGAAATGAACCTAGGACTAATAAAAAAAGAGTTGCATTCAGAAGAAAGATTAAAAAATTTTAAATAAATATCTCAATATTTATTTATACTCACGTTAAGAGATATATTATTTAGTTTTTTTTTTTTTGTAATATATGTTTTCTTAAATTCAAAGATTTTTTTTTTTTTTTTAAAAAAAAAGTAAAGTAATATTAAATAAACTTTACGTGATAAATTGTCTATGAAGCCAAGGATGTATAAAGGATAATATTGGTGGTGTAAAAGCAACTTTTACAATTGCAGATGTTAAGCTTTTAAAAGTTTTCAATATATCCTCATTATTGCAACATTTCTAATTTTTTTATTATAAGAGTATTAAATTAATGGCAAGAAATTTTATACTAAAACAATATATATCGATATATATACTTCACTAACAATAATGTTAGTAAGTAGAATTGCAATAATATCTGCTACAGTTTTTGATGGATTATGAATAACCTTCGGTTCTAATAATAAATAAAAATTCTTTTAATTTCACGTGAAAATTTTATAAGTTAAAAAATAGTGTTTCTATCCATTATACGTTTATCTATTTATTCATCATGATACTGAGGTCTAGATTTCATTTTATATCCATTTACTATTGCTATTGATATCCAGACAATTATCTGAATATCTGAGCGATTTGATTTATCCAGATATTAGATACGAATAAATGGATAACAGATTTATCTGAATTGGAACTCTAGTTAAAAGCTTACCAACACATTCACCAATATAATATCTATAGCATTAACAATGTTTTTTTGTAATCTACTCATAAGATATTTTAATTTTCCTGTGACAAATTCTCTTATTATTTTACCATTTATAGCGAAATCAGGAACATTACTTAATATATGTTTTAATGGGAATTGCTGTTTTAAAAATGATTAAAAATACTGTATATGGTTATATAATAATATCTGAACATTCTCTAAATATTTTTCAATTACCATTTCTGTTCCTTTTCTAAAACAAAATTCTTAATCTTTTTTTAATACTTCATGAGCTATCTCTTTTCCGACTATAGTCATTATTTGACTGAATATATATAACGAAAACATCTCTCCATACTATTATTAAGAGTTTATAAATTATTAGAACGTGAAAAGAAATCTTCATTTTTATTTAATTATTTATTATTATAATTATTATTATAATTATTAAGTTTTTTTAAAAAAAAAATAAAAACCTTTTTTCGAGCTTCTAAAATTAACTTTTCGCAATCCGTTAGATATCTCCAAGTATGTCTGATAATTGGAATTCGATAATAAGCGAGAGGTGGTTTATTCTAAGAAGGTTCACCATTAATAAAATAATTATGAATAAATACTAATATAGGAAAAAAATTTACTAGTTTAGCCCGTCTTGTTAGTTTGAAATAAACTACTGCTAAAATTAATCCAATAATAAGTGATTAAATATATATGTTTTCTATTAAGATTTTAATCATTTTTTCCAGATTTATTTTTTTTCTTTGAATCTTATCGTGTGCTAACTTGGAGGATTAATAAAGATTTTTCTATACTTACTGTGGTTATAGGTCAGCAATTACTCAGTGATTTTCTAACTTGTTTGTTCATCATATATTTTAATTACAAGTGTTTGGACGTTTAAGTTCTGTACATCAAAAACATATAACACTAGCTACTTTATATGCCAGAACAATTTAGGAAAATGTCATAATATGTTATTAGATTTTTTTACTTAACACCCACCTGCGTGTTATTTCGAAATAAGAGAAGATTTTCTAAATTCAATATAGTCGACCTTTAATAAATGTATGTTGTTAGTTAAAGGTGCATTTACAGTATAAAATATTCATTATGGAGGATAATCTATATATAATATTAAATAATTACATTAGACCGATCAAATTATGTGCACTTATCATTATAGGGAAAGTGCACGTGAAGTTGGGTATTCGATGACCAATTTATGTATAAAAAATGTTTTTTTTTTTTTTTATCATTATTCATCAATAAATTTTTTACATTTTTATCATTTCTTGGACATTTACTCTAATTTGTTTTATTCTACCCAGAATATTGATATTTTTTTGGTTCGTACATATAAAGAATGAATTGCATTATGAGTTATGACCAAATTATAATCAAATGCACATGGTATTGGATATAAAATATCCTTATTTTACAATGTATCATACCGAGATTGTTAATACAAAATATGATACTTTGTAAAAAAAAAAAAAAAAAAAGAGGACCTTTTAGAACATTCGATATTTGTATTATTAGAATTAGTTAGAATAGTAGAGTTTTAAAAATATGTGGTGTCCGTATTAAAAGGGCCCATTTTGCAATTTTTCGAAAAATGAGTTTTATTAGATTCATATAAATTTTGTTATGATTGACATTTTTCAACAAGTTCAGAAAGTAACCTAAAAAATCTATAAATGTATTTTTTATATAGATTAAAAAAGTATATATAAATAATAATTATTATTATTAGTATATATATATCAGTAATTTCAAAATTAACAAACCTATTCTATGGGTGTTCTCAAGCATCAATCTAGATATGATTAGCAAGTGATCACAATAGTACTCAAGCAAAATTATATTTACATAAAATTTTTATTGAGAATTCGAATATGTAATTTATGATGTAATTAAAATCTTCTCAAGCATCATCTTCGATATGATTAATTAGTGATCGTAATAGTGTTAATCAATTGAAGTAAACATTACAATCAGTATTTGAGCGGTTCTTTTATTATTTATCAAAAATAAAAATAAAAAATAAAAAAAATAAAAAATAAAAAAGCGAAAAATAAAAAAACAAAACCAACTGTTAAACAAGAAGCTAATGCCATGAATTATTGAAAATATTCTGGCGAAACATCAACTTTAGCAGCCCCTGTTGCTCTGTTTACCGACTTCACCAATTATAATATATTATTCCAACAACAATATCCTGTCTCTCCATTTTTTATGAATCCATTAGTTGCAAATAAAGCTGCTATTGAATACAAAGAGGTGTTATTCGCTTATTTAT